GTGTGTGTGTGAGTGTGTGTGTGTGTATGCATGTGCGTGTGCGTGTGTGTGTGTGTGTGTGTTATAAGTGCATGCATAGTATACATGTATGCTGTATGCATGTGTGCACGTATGTGTGTGTGTGTGTACATGTGTGTGTGTGTGTGTGTGTGTCTGTGTATGTTTTGTGTGTGTGTGTGTGCGTGTGTGTGTGTGTGGGGTGTGTGTGTGTGTGTGTGTGTGTGTGTGTGGGTGGGTGGGTGGGTGGGTGTGCGGGTGGGTGGGTGTTTGGGTGGGTGGGTGGATGGGTGGGTGGACGGGTGGGTGGATGGGTGGGTGGGCAGGTGGGTGGGTGGGTGTGCTTGGACAACATGTCGTATATAGTGTGTGTGTGTGTGTGTGTGTGTGTGTGTGTGTGTGTGTCTCTGTGTCTGTGTGTGCGTGTGTGCCGGGTATATGTGCGGATGTGTGCTTTTGTGTGCGGGTGTGTTTGTGCATGTGAGCCCATGCATGTGTGTATATGTACCATACATCATGCCCATCGATCATGCACCCTCTGCCTGGCACCACTGCTGGAGGCTCCGAAGCACCACCGGCACTCCTTTGTGCAAGCTGGGCCTGGAGCTTGGCGATCCTCTCCTGCGAAGCCTGGGATGACATGGGTTTGTCTTAGCTTCTCTACTTATATAATTTAAGCTAGCATTCGTTATGCACTCGGGCATTGCGGTAGTAGATAATGTGCAGACCTGGAACACGAATCATATCAGCAATGTCCATGGCTTCGTTCGGAGCACCAGTGCTGTTGGTGCTGACAAGGGCGAGGCCGCTAAAAAGGGTCGAGCAAGACCACTGCCTAGATACCATCTCAAAAGCTGGATCCTAGATGCAATGGTTGAGGCAAAGCAGGTGCATGCACATACACACGTCTTCCGCCCCACAAGCTAAGCACATGACTTGTCGTTTTCACATGCACAGTGCCAACATAGCAGCGTGAAGCAGCCACACACGCATGGCTTAATTTGCCCGGCAAGGGCTAATTGGATCGTCAAGAGAGAACTGTACGTTCTGCGGGTGGTTTCGTTACACTTTTTACGTTTGCGCCCGGGTTGCGCGGGATTGCGCTCGGGTTGCGGGAGTTTGCGCCCGGGTTGCGGGTTCGCTTTTGCCCTAAATAGATCGTTTCCCTCTTGCAAAGCTAAAAGAGGCCGGAGGCCCAAAAGTCCCCACCAGCCCCTTCAAAGAAGCCTTTCAGGCCCTCTGGTGCCTGGTGGACCAGCCCTGCGGATGACTCAGAGAATCGGGTTCTGGGGCTTTGGGAGCCTCTAGGAGCTGGGCCCTCTGTATAGGTAGGTCGTAGGATAAGGTTGAGGGTTGCGGGTGGTTGCGGGTTGCGGGTTGCGGGCTGCGGGCTCTAAAGCCAAAACTCTCCAAACACCCCAAAAACGTATAGATCTGTATCCCCAACCGCATAAATTCTACATATTATGTATATATGTAAAATACGAGGCTTTGCCCTTAAACCCTCAAGCCGACCCCCCTAGATGGTGGTTGCGGGTTGGGACGAAACACCTAGATTCTCACAGATGCACACCTGCTACTGCCCGGCCCTGGGCCAGTGGTCCCCCTTAGGATCTGATTCTCAAACCTCTCTAGGCTGTGAACCCGGTCGGCATATAGGATCACTATATATATGTATATATATATATATATATATATATTATATAATTTAATATATATAGTATGTATATATATAGTGATCCTATATGCCGACCGGGTTCACAGCTATATATAATACCCTACAACCATGTACCCTAAAGCCCCCACATGCACCTGCGACTCTGCCAACCCGAAAGCCTTAAAGGCCTAAAACCAAAAACCCCCGAAGCACTAAAGCCCTGAAACCCGGGGCCTAGAAATCCCTTCACCCTGAAGCCTTGAAACCCAGACACCCTAGACCATTAAACCCTAGGCGCACAAGCCCCAAAACCTGAAATACTCTAAGTCTTTCCAAGCCCTTGTTCTAAGCCTTAAAGCCCAGCCTATATAATATAAGGCCCATAAACTTATAAACCCGAAACCCTTAGACCCCTGAACCCTTGAGCCCTTCTATAGATCTCAAACACTTGAGCCCGGAACCCTTGAAGCTTAAGTAGAGCCCGATTATATATATATATATATATCATATGGGTCCTCAGCCCTTCAAGCCCCCTACAATCTGCGGCGTTTGTTCGGTGCTGAACTTTGCACCGCAAAAAGCTCCTGTCGGAGCTCGGAGCTTCCCAAAGCCTGAGCACAACAGTGAGAAGCTCAACGGGGCTTTAGGGTTTAAGGATCTAAAGGGTTTAAGCGTGTAAGGCTGTAAGGGTTAAAGGGCCGGTTCAGGTTTAAGGTTCAAGGGTTTTGAGTTTAGGGTCTGGGGTTTGGATTGTTTTGGACCAGTTAAGTTATAGGGGTTGTAGGGTTTGGGGTTTTCGGGCATTGGATCTATAGTTTTGGGGGTATGCTTTGGGGGTTTGGTGGTGCTGGTGGAGCAAGGCTGGCAAGGAACCTTGCCACGAAGTTCTGCAGCGTAGGAGCTCATGGTCGATTGCCAGGAATCCGGAATCCTCAACATGATGTGTCTGCTCTGACACCAGGACATATATTTTAGCTGCATTCGATATCTAGCAGTCGAGAAGCCGAAGCTTCGTCGATCCATAGAGATAGTTGAAGACATCGTACATCCCACTCTCAATCCATTCGTCATCCGAACTGATTGCACAAAAGATCTCTTTATCCGACAAGGACATGTCTACTTTTGCCCGCCAACGAAGATCAGCTCGTTCTTCTGCAGGCTGGGACCGCCAGGCAGAATAGGCTTTGAGGAGGTTCCGCCCAAATTGAGATGGATAGACCCTGCACTGTAACTTCATCAGCAGGATGATCACTCAGTACAATTTAAGACAAAGGCTTGAAGCACTAATGCTGCATTGTTGCCCCGACATCGAAAGCTGAGAGGAGCCAGTAAAGCGTTTGCGCCCATCGCTGTCTTCATGTCTACCTTAGTCACAGTACTTACCCTATAATTAAGCATATACCACAATGGCACGAGCACCCTTGACCCTTGAACTGACATGCGAACAAATCACGAACTGTTCGGATAGCTGAACACTCTTCCCTTTTTGCTTTTGTAAGCTTGCCCAAATCTAGATCTCCGATATTGGACATGGTCGAGTAGAGCACAGTTCTCTTCGGGGATGGAGCACCGTGTAGCATCATCCACATGCAGACGGAATGGACCTGGGCCAAACAAGGGTGGTTTGGTATTTAGAGTTAACCGTCAGGGCTTAGGGTTTTATGGTTTCGGGTTTAGGGTCACCGAAACCTAGCTGGTTGTGAAGCTGCTGACCGAGAGTCTCGGGCTACTGAACTCGAGAACCACTCCCAGCGTGGGTGCCGAAACATGAGTGATTGCGCTGGCTGTTCCAGACAGAAAGTGGCATTGACCGCGAGGCATACCAGTAGGAGGCAAACGGTCCTAGGTTGTGAAGGGGTTTGGGATTATAGGTTTATACAGGGTATAGTATAGGATCTAGCGTACAATTCCCAGAACCCCAAGAACCCAACACAAATCGCAGGATCCAAGACACCGGCTCACCATCTCGAACCCAGTCCGAACCCAATCATTGGCCATATTCCCCCTGCAATTCATGAAGTTCCGCATACTTGTAAAACGGGAACAGATCGACCAACTTGAGCAGTCGGGGCCCACAAGCAGCATGCCATCTGGCACCAGGTTCAACACCATCCACAAAGCCAGCCTTAGGAGACTAGCGAATACATGGCATATTGTCCATGCATATATAGATCAACCTAGCAGCGCCATGCCAGCACCCTGCATGACATCCATTTGCTTGCCATATAAGGCATCCAAGGACCCCGTCTTGTAGCCAGCCTCATGCCTGAAGTGTATATGGGGCAGTAGGCTAGGTAATTTAATAGGTGCATTATATGGCTATTTGGGGCCCAAACCAAGCTTTGCACACATTGCCGTGCCCAGCAAAAATTTCCAGGAATTGATAATCAACACCTTGGTCGAGGCCCTCCATCCAGCGAATCAAAAGAACCTTGGGTTCATGTGTGAACTTATACACGTGTACATGCATGCATGAGCTGGAAATGCATGCCATGTAGCAGTGGCTATGAGGACCTTGCATCGACAGTGCATATACTGCACAGAAAGACACTACATGGGGATCAAAACTCTAAGTCTCAGTCCTTGGGGGCTCGAAGCTGCACTAGATTGACAACCACGGAACTCGAGGGAGGCATGGCTTGCAAAAAGCCTTGTCGAACTAAGATCTAGCTGCTAGCTTTGATCCAGCTTCACAACCACACACACATGTATAGCACAGGCTTCGGAAGCTGCACACATGTACCAACCAGCGAGCAAACTTGGAAAGCTTCAAGCAGCAGGGGGTCGCACCTGATATGGAGGCTCTGACAGCCCAACCTTCGACGTGGTCACGTCCACGAGGCATCCTGGCGGAGTTGAGTTGATGAATGCTACACATGTGCAACAGAACATGCAGTATAAGATGCTTTATGCATATCGGAAGCACTCTCGTTCTTTTTTGCCCCGTGGCTCTCCTTCGATCTGAGCAGCCGATTGTTCGAAAGCTAACGGACAGAACTTGCCAGCGTGATGGCACACAAGCTTTTGATGTGTGCTCGCACACTAGACCACCCCGGCACCCCGGCAAAACCCTACAAACATGTACAGTTTGTAAAACTATAGATCAGCACTGCTTTGCAAGCATCCACCACATTTCTCGTGATCCGATCTCAATACCCAAGAGTCGCCCATGCCACCATAAGGAGCGGGTCAATCCTGGTTCTTGTAAGCCTGGGCTGGGTCTGAGAGTTTCGAGTTTCATAGGGTTTATCGGCTTAGGGTTTAAGTTTCAGGGGTAGGGTTGAGGGTGTGGCACATATGTGATGCCATACAAGGGATGGTCGAACATACATGTATGTACTTCATGCTAACTAACTGCAAGTCCAAGAACTGCTTTGGCTGCCAACTTGGCCTGCTCCTCGGTTTTACCCTCCTGCAAAGCCAACCTACGGGCCAAGTGGTATGCACAGCTTTTGCGGCTTTTTTTCTTCTTCTCATCATCATCATCATCATGCCCCCTCTTCTTTGCACCCTCCTCGTCATCGTGATCATTGCTTGCTGCCTTGGCTGCTGGCTTGGGGGCTGCCTTTGCTTTTCCTTTGGCCTTCGCCTTTGCTTTCACCTGGGCCTTGCGCTTGCAGGCCTCGTCTGCCTTTGCAGCTGCTGTGGCGCCTGCCTTGGCTTTTGCTTTGGCCTTTGCCTTTCCCTTCGCCTTCGGCTTGCAGGGGGCTGCCTCATGCATTGGCTCATCACTGCCTCGGGCATGCTCGTCGTAATGCTCCGTTTTGTTGTCACAGTCATCATCCATCTCATCCCCGGACATCATCGGCTCATCCTCCTCACAGGCGGACTCCTCTGCGGATGGCTTGCTTTTGTTCCCCCTGCCACGTGACTTTCCCATGCCACGTCCAGCAGCCTTGCGAGAAGAGCTTCCCCGCCCACGCCCCCGCCCACGTCCCCGCCCACGCCCCCGTCCACGACCTCGGCGCTTGGAGGGTTCCTCGGGTTCGGCTTTGCTGTCCCCGGCAGCCTTGTCAGCCTCTTGCAACAATTTGACTTGTTGTGTCGGCGATACGAACTCCACAGTCTTGGGATCCATGGGGCACTCTGGCAGTCCAGCAGGTGCCTCGGGTACCACATGTACAGATATGCATGATACTGCAATGCCTAGAATAGCCGAACGACAATATATGCACTATGCAGGCAAATTCACCTTGGCTTCATCCGGAGGAAGCATACCAGAAGGCTTGGCATCGAGGGTGTCAGAAGACGATAGAGCAAGCTTCACATCTTCTGGTGTGATCATAGTCTTCTTGACAGGTGGCTTAAGGACTCGGGGTTCAGTTTCTCTGATCTCAGCCTTGTTGACAAAGGGCTTTGGGGCTGGGGAGATCTCAGTCTTGTCGACAAGGGATTTCGGGGCCGGGGATCCAGTCTTCACAGGAGTCTTGGGATCCATCGGGAAATCGATTTCCATGATGTCCACCGGGCATGTATCCAAATCATCAGAGCCTCAATTGCACCCAAACTCGACTATTTGCAAAGCCAATGCTTTAGCAGCGTAGCAAGATAACCAAGCCAATGCTACCAGTGACCCAAAGCATCAGGCACAACAGGCTCGGCTGCAGCCTGGTGCAGCTTCGCTTGCATGATCGGCTCAGGCTCCGTCGCTGGCATCTCCTTGCACTTGGATCCCGCGACCTTTGTCTCGAGCTGGAGAAGGAGGCCTTCAAGATGCTGTTGCTCTTCCATAAGAGCTTCAAGGGTTTGAAGCCTTCCTAGTTCTTCCTCTTCCAACTGCAATGCAGCTGCAATCTCAGCATCCTCTAAGAAAGATGGAGCAGCAAGTTTGGCAGGGGGAGGCTCAGAAACCTCAAGAGGTTTGGCATCAAGCACAACAGGAGCTTTGACCTCGGGGGGCGGGCCGGCTGGGCACCTTTCATTCTTGAATGTAGTGATATCCTGCTTGCTCTGGTTGCAGTTCAAACACAAGTAGCCCAGCTTCCTGTCTTTGACCGTATAATGCCAAGCCCTTTTCCTGTAGAGGGTTTGCGGCGAATCAGGTTCCTCAATACCTCGGTGCAGCAGCCAACCTGCATGTACAGCATGTTCCGAAACTGCTCACAGACACATATATGATGCAAGTTGCGAGGCTTCGGTGGAGGAGTCACCACGACACTCGAGGTCGTCGAGCCGGAGACCGAGCTACCTTAATGAGTACTATGAATCCACCCCTTCGGTTTGACTATGCTAGTTCTAAGAATCGACAAGAAACCTTCTGAGGGAGCAGAGCCTCGAGGTGGAAGTGGAAGTTCTAGGACCATATCTGATGGCGGGGGTGCTGGCTCTTCCATAGACAGAGCAATGGCCTAGGATCCCAGACCATAAGGCTTTCAAGCATGGCAACTAGCACAAGCATGTTTACCTTCAAACTCGTATACAGAAACACATGCATACACAGACTCACACGGAGACACACCAGCGAGAGAGAGAAAGAGAGAGAGAGATTGAGAGGGGAACGAGAGCAGACCCCCATACTCACCTCAGACAATAGAGCAAGACACATCACGGAGGGCTCGTTCTTCCTGCTCATCACCACGGCCATGCGTCACCTCCATAGCTGCTGCGTCACCACCGCCACCCAAGACACTGGCAGCACGAAGTGCGACACCAGCATCCTCATCACCGCTGTCTGAGCTGGATGAGGAGTCAGACTCAGTCCCACCATCACTGCCGCTGCCACTTCCTGCTTCAGGCGGTTTAAAATTATGGGTTATTTAGGGTTAAGGGGCTCGCTATCTGTGCATGACGATGACTGCATGGCGACTCCTTCTCCACCCTGAGGCAACTCTATTCCAGCGGCGACAAAGATCTCGCGGAATCGGGGATTGCGCGGGGTATGCGGCCTCTTGGCCGCACGGGAGAAAATTGACACGAGGCGTTTCAGTATCCACGCCTCTGTTCTGACTTCAGTACCTTAGCTTTGGCAGCCTACATATGGGTCCTAAGCTTTCGATTCCAGCTGCGTCATGCTTTCGAGTTTCGTGATGGCATGGGCTTCGCCATAGGTCTGTAAGAAGCATAGAAGCGGTTCAGGAACTCGAAGCATATATCGATGCTGGGACGTAAACCTGGGCCATGGTATTAGTCGGGGAGCTTATATAGATCGAGGAACATGCATGCAAGTATTTTCGACTATATAAGACTACTTAGACAGGCAAGGGGCCGACTTGCTTCATAAGAGGTCCCAGCAAGCAGCCATTGGCTACCACAGCATCCCTGTTCAAAGGACCGGAAAGCACCAAAACTGACCCGCCTTTGGTGGATAATCGCACCATGATCTCTTCACTCGAACCCCAGGCAATCAGGACCGGATCCACATTCGCCATCATCGTGAGCAACAGACACAAAGGTTCGAGGCCCAATTAGCTAGTGGAGACCCCATGCACATATGCCAAGCATGCATGTCGCTGCATGCGAATGGAAAATGTACGGTGCATGCAATATTGCCATGCGCTACATCCATGTGCATTGCGCATGACATTCGATACTTGGAAAGCAGCTGCGTCTTACACAGTGGTAAGTTAGCGGCACCACAACCACCACAGATCGCACACAAGCTGATACTCGATCGAGTGACACCCATGCATATAAATGTGGCAGGCCCACCTCAGAAAGAACAGAATCACGAGCAAAGGCGCTCGCACCATCAAATGTACCTGCAATTGCCCAGGTATTACGGTGGTCATCAACATCGTGGCCAGCTGCAGCAAAGCTTCAGCATGCACAGACATACAACACGTTGGGGGGTGGCGCACTTCATGAAGTCAGTTGCACCGTCATGGTTCGGTGTTGAAGTAAAGCCGATATGGCTTTCGAGGGGAATTATTTAGAGCTTAGCCATCAAAACCCAAGAAACGCTCGAACCCCACGATATTTAGCCGAAAGCACAAGAAGTGGTACAATCCCACAAGAAGTGTATCAAACAGCCTTCGAGCAGAAATAAAGATGACAAACGAAACTCCAGGTACTCTGAAGTGTATGCTGTGATATGTATTCGAGCTGAGAGTTGAGTGAAGGTGCACTGTAGTTAGTTGTACCTACTTTCGAGTGTGATCAATTGCATCATGCTCACTAGGACCTTACGAGGTAGTTGTTCCCTGGGCATGGGGGGTGGAATCGCCACCTTCGCATCTTTAAGGTGCCGGGCTGATGCCTGCCATACGAGCCCTGTCGCAAGGCATATACATGCTGCGTGCAAAGTGACAAAAAGTAGCCGAGGACCTGGCCGAAGGAGGGCTTGACGCGGAAGCCGTTGCTTCTACGCTCCTCCATTTACATGGATCTTGAGTCCTCGCTTGCCCAAGTATGATCGGTCGCTGGCCCGCTGGACGATTTCGCACAGGTAGCTCAGGACCGTCTTGGTCTCGGGGTCGAAGCGCACAAGCACCCTCTGGGGGCGGGTCCACCGCCGGCCCAGGAGCCGCAGGATCTCCTGGCCGTCGTCGTCGGCCAGGTCCTCTTCGTAGGCCAGGGGAATCTCGGCATCCGGACTGGAGAGCAGCCACATGCCCTCGCGCTTCGCGAGCTGCAGATCCAGCTTCTTTTCAGAGTAGACCGCCATACACTCCCGACTCGCTGGTATTTCTACCTGCGGCCACGTCCCGCGCCATCCTGTGAATGCCCTGGCGCTCTGCCGGGGCATAGCGCAATTGCGGGATGCGACGGTTGACCGCCTCCGTCATCCGGCCCAGCTCGTCGGCATAGGTCTCGCCCTCCTGCCGCAACCGGCGGTTGGAGAGCCACTCGTTGAAGGCCTGCGCCTAAGCACCACGGCTCAAGTTTTGTTTGTAGTGTTTGGGGCGGGGTAGTCTTGCAGTTCCCTGGATCAGCGCCTGGGCGCACCCGGCTGGTTCAGGTAGCGCAGCGGGCCGACCTGCTGTGGCGTAGTGGAGGGCAGCCATAGGTATCTCCAGCATTGCTTCGCCTCTGGAGTGCGTTTTTCATACAGAGCAGTGAGTGCAGCCGTGTTCCTGGATCGTACAACAATTTCCGGCTCTGCATTCATACATGGTTTTGCCATTGCTGCTGCTTTTCAGTTTCCTGGGTGAATTTTTCTGGACTGGACAGACTGCATTGGTTTTTAACGCTGCACCCGCGCCGAGGGCGGGATGGACGAGGCTTTCAGATATCTGCAAGATTCGGAGCCACGAGAAGGGAACAGTGCGCAGGCTCTCGCCTGCACAGCCAGTGAAGATAGGCGACGCGCTACTCCAATCCTGGAGCGGCAAATCTCCGAAGCATTGGACACAGGACAACCGGCATTCTATCTCTGTTTTCGTGGAATTCCCAAATGGGCTATCACAGACATTGGAGTTCATGCATATTTTCAGCAGTACGACAACCCAGACGCTGATGCGAGACGTGCCATTATTGTGCAACTGGAACGTGCGGCTGCTGAGACAGATATGGCCGGTACGCTGGACATGTTTCGTCACTTCTTGGAGGGAGATCATCGAGAGCAGTTTTATGATGACATTTACAGGTTGGTGGCACAACACGTCCGTAGCATGCCGAGACCTATCCCACTTGCGGACTTGCTGCATCCCATGCCGGCTGACAGCGACTCTGAAGTGGAGAGCTCTGCCTCTACAGTGCTTGATACAGAATCCTGCTCATCCGACCCAGACCCATAAGAATGCCCATGAACCCCCAACCTGTGTGTGCAAGCCTGCTGGGCACTTGCGAGTGTTAGCGCGGCCGAGACGTCGAGGCCTATGTCTCAGACTCAATACAGGCTTAGAAGTGCTAACGCTGTGCTGGTTTGCCTGTCTGGGATTCCTCAGGGTTCTATGGTTTTGCAGAAGTTCGCGCAAACGGTGCGACACTCAGCGGACGCCTTATACGCTGCGCGGGAGCGCTGCTTGCGCCCTGACCCCGAGCCTTAACAGCATCAGGAGTCGCCACGGTCCCAAATCCGTGGGCAGCAGGCCGGTTTGGAGATGCATACCTGTTCGAGCTGTGCACCTCTGGTTCTTCATCATCTGCATAGCACATCATCTCATTTTGCCTGCTGTTGGTGCGAGGGTTGCTGTCGATTCCACACCGGCAGCTGGAGTCCGAGAACAAGCGGATCCAGGAAGGTTGTCGCAACAGGCGGCGAAGCCTAGTGGGATATTGGACATTCGAACCCAGCCAGTTTTTACACAAGCCAGGAAACGAGCCTACAAGCGTGCGATGGTTCGTGCGCAAACTCAGGGATACACACGTTACAGGGGACGCACCCTTAGCTTACAGCAGCTGGCCGGCATGCAAGGTCATGGAGATCCATCGGTGTCCACGTTCTCTCGCAGGCGCCGCTCTCCTATTGATCAGCAAGGTTCGGATGTCTGTCTTCTTAGCTGGAATGTAGGGGGCCTCTCAAACCCAATCCTTGATGAACTCATCATTTGGCTTTCTTTGCCACAGAATCGCAATATCAAAGTGGTTCTACTTCAGGAAACTCGGTGGCAATTCAGCTCCGAGTGGGAAAATGAGAAGTGGCTCATTGTCCACTCCGGTCACAGTAAGCAGAAGGGGTCTGGGGTCATGACGTTAATTTCTAAGGATCTCTGTTGTGCTGCTGACGTCAGATCTTGCGAAGTCGTAGCCGGTCGTGCATTACACACCCGGGTTCCGGCGCCAGGCGGTCGTAGCAACTTAGACATCATCAATGTCTATCAACATGCTTGGGACAATCGAGCAGATGCTGCGGAGCTGCGGCGAATGCGTGCCAGGATTCTTGAGAAGGTGGATGCTTGCATCCAGCAGGTGCCGTGGCGCAACCTTTGTGTATGCGCGGGGGACTGGAATGTGCAACTCGTCCCCGCGCACGGGATGGTAGGCAACAGCACTGCTCACGCTGCGGGGCAGCGTCAATCCGCACCGGAAAAGGAGGCCCTCACCGATCTCATGATTGCAAGGCACCTGGTTGCCCTCAATACATGGTCAGGTCCGAAAAGACAGGCGTTCACCTTCGAGCATCAGGGGTGTCGCACCCAGATTGATTATGTGTTTGTAAGGAGGCACCAGGTTACCAGTAGGATGAGGTTGTGCAAGCCTTTGCAGGCATTTCCCGTCACTGCGTGGCGCCATTCAGGGTTGCATAGGCCGCTTGCTGTTGCTCTTGACTACCGTTGGCAACCCCAAGCTCACACATGTGCATGTCGAAGGGTGAATGTTGACGCCCTGGCCATTGCTGTGCAAAAGTGCTTACCCCAGCTGCAAGCCTTCAGGGAGGACGTGCAGCAGGCACTACAGCACCGAGTGATCACTAGCACTCAGGACCTACATCAAGTGCTGTATGACTGCAGTGTGCTGCACTTCCCAGCGGTTCCGGTTAGGCGTGAGTACCCTCATCAACATGAGGAGGTACAGCAGATTGTAAGCAACAGGTGGAGACACCTGCAATTGGGCAGGATGTTTCGGCGACAGGCAGCCGATAGTTTGGCAAGCGCATGGAAAGCCTGGCATCACTTTGCCAGGTTTCGGGCACTGCGGCGTGAGGCCAACCGGGCGTCGAGGCAGGCTCGCAAGCAACGATTCGAGCATCTTCTGCAGGAGGCTGAGAAACAGGCTTCCCAAAACAATACTCACAAGCTGTATGCCATTATCAGACAACTTGCACCGAAGCAGCCTTACCGCAGGGTCAAGATCTACGGGGTGGCAGGCGAAATCCTGAGCAGGGAAGCTGAAGCGGATCGGCTCCGTGAACACTTTCAGAGCATCTTCCAAGGCAGTGCTGAGCCGTGGACTCATGCCTGTGATGAGCACGTCGAGCCGCCCACACTGGAGGCCGTCCAATGGGCTCTAGAACAAACGCCACTACGGAAAGCGGTCCCGCCGCACTTCGCGCCAGGTGCGGCATGGCGTGCAGCGGCCACTATCCTAGCGCCGTATGTGCACAAGACTGTCCAGACCATCTGGAGCGGTGCGAGGGTGCCGCAGCACTGGAAGGACGGCTGGCTCGTACTACAGCGCAAGCCCAACAAGCCAGGCCGTGGCCCTGGCGATTTCCGTCCTTTGTGCCTTCAGGATCCATGCGGTAAAGCGGTTGTTAAGTTACTGGCGTGCAACATCAAAGACACGGTGAAGGCATATGCATCTAGGTGCCCGCAACATGCGTACCTTTCTCAGAGGTCCACTGAAACAGCTTTGTTGTGTGTCTTTGCCAGATGCCGCCGTATCAGACATCTCACACAGCAGGCTGGCAATAGCATTTTCGCACGCAGATCCGGACAAACTACCGCATCATTTACCGGAGGATATGTGTTGTCCCTCGACATGTCGATGGCATTCGACGCGGTACCCAGAGCTATGGTGCGTGACTCATTGTTGGCAGCGGGGGTAG